AGTCATTTCATCTGTAAAAGGATGAGACATTGCTGACACTCTAGTACTGCGCTTAAATTCATAAATTCTTGGTAGCATAGCTGAATGTTCAAAATTAGCATGAAAGTATTTATAGAAAATGCACAGGAAAGCTACTTTATAATGGTGGGGGTGGGAATGAAGCTGAGATGCTAGGTTACAGCCAATTCTTCTTTGGCTTTTATCAAGAATATCAAAATATGTAACGGGAGTACCAGAATAGATGTAGCAGCAATATTGAAAGCATGGCCGGTTGGAAACGTACGTGTAAGATACAATTTAAAATGTGTATTAAGAATACGAGGTGAAGAGAATGTTGTATTCGTACCTTTGCAGATAATTTTAGAATAGAAAAGATATGAAGCAATAACACTGATTTCACTTCCGGTGTCACCTAGAAAACATTGATTTATGAATTGAACCTAATAATAGCCACATCGAAAAAAAATATTAGTAAATGTTATATCTTGACAAAAGAAAAAGAAAATTACTTTTTTAGTTTAATGTAATATTCCTTCATAAAGATTTATTGCGTTTAAGAAACATCCATCTTTTAGCAAGCGCCATTTTCTTTTAAGCTGTATTTTATAAAAAAAAAATAAATCAAACAAACAAAAAAGCAACAATCCCATTAACAATCCCAAAGCATTTTTGCCAATGTTCTGCAGAATTTATTAACTCTTTATAAGATTCAGTAAGAATATTCTTTTTCCTTATGAAGTTGATTTTTTCCGTTCAATATTTGAAATATTTATATTCTTCCAAGTTTGACTATAAAAGAAAAATAAGTTAATGAATCCTTTCTATGACATATTCCATTTCTTCGGTAAAGACGCCCAAGATAATTATTCCAAAGATATTTTTATCACCAGCCAGTACTAACATGTAATTCTTTGTTCTCATTTAATTTGAGAGGCGAAAATACCTCAGCCCATATCATTGTGTCAATACCAACCAAAATATAATTATATCATTTAAGAATTTCACTGCTATTTCCTTGTAGCATTGTCATCTGGTTGGACTGGACTGATTTTGGGAAACATAGGGCATTACTGTTTATCATAAATACATGTATATGAAGACACTGACGGCGATTTCTGATGATCCCCGGTTTAGATCAGATACTCTGGAGTTCAGACTAAGCTAATCAATGTTTCTAACACACGATATAATGAATGCAACGAAAAAAGGTCGTATTGTATGCGACTATATGTCGACGCTAGTAGCAATTTGCAGTAGGTAATTCATAACGTTAATTCATGACGTTTCGTATAGTTTCTGTGGTGGTACAGGAGCGTTTGGGAAAATATAGCGGTTCGGATTGAGGAATCGGAGAGCCGAGTTCGAATTCCAGTCGAAGCCATTACATTAACTTACGTGCTAATACCATTGAGAAAGGTATGAATCATTTTCTTTTACACCTAGTTATGGGTAATTAGCAGGACAGACTGGGTTCTATAGCCGTGGATTGCAACTGGTCTACAGCAGAAAGAAATGACAACCTACTGCGGGGAAAAAATATCTGACGCGTCCGTCACATATCGAAAGATACATGATCGCCTAAGCGTGTAACACGCATGGCACCTAATTGACTGAGGACATTAATATTTACAGTAAATGCATGAATATAAAGCCACTGACAGCTATTTCTGATGAACGACGGTTTCGATCAGATAATTCAGACTAAGCTAAACGACGTTTCTAACGCACAATAATGATGTTCCATGCTTAGCTTAGATGTGGTACAAGGACGAAAATAGGGGCATCCAGTGAGGATCGAACTCACTAGCAACAGTTCTAGCGAGAGAAGCTTGCTAACCGTTACACCGCCTCTTTGATGCCCAACGGACAATATAATAAATGCAACGAAAAAACGGTCATATTGTACGCGACTATATGTCGACGCTAATTCGAAAGTAGCAATATTGCAACAGTTAATTCATAACACAAACGTGAGCAAATGGCGTTTCGTGGTGTTTTTTTAAAAAGTATATAACCCGAACTCAACATAATTAAATCAAACTCAACATAAAACAATGCATCTAAACATATATTTCCGCTGATAACATTTCTTTCTCTCACGTGGTCATGTATGACGTCATAGAACCGCATTTGGAATTTACGAACTGCATCAGCTATTCCGCGACCGTTATTGTAACATCGCAAACTTCTCTATAAACAAAACAGTATGTCATCTTTGAAGGTGAACATCTCTGTTGTAATGTCTATATAACCACTCTGATGATGTCTCATGTCAGTCGAAAGATTAGATCGACGACCAATATAATAAAGAACAGTTTTTGCCTTTATATTCACTTGAACCTAAAGACATTATATGACGCTTTGAAAGACTCATGATCAAACATAATAGACATTCATTGTATGTTATATTTAACAATATTTGTTGGAGAATATATATATATATATATATATATATATATATATATATATATATATATATATATATATATATATATATGTGTGTGTGTGTGTGTGTGTGTGTGTGTGCAGATATGTAGAAAATAGCCTTGTTTCATCCTCAAGCGAAATTTACGCACCTTTATACGCATGTCCATTCGCAAAATTAATTACTATGGAAACGGCTGAGGTGACCATTTTGATAAGGGGCCTAAGAGTTATTTTTATCCACATATCAGTCACCTTCGGAAAGAGGCCAAGCCGAGGTAGGGTCGGGGTTTTCATTTCAAAGCGAATTTATGTCAGCGTTTTTGTATCTGCTACTTTTTAGGGCTGTATTATAAAAATTACTGTGTTGTTGGAATAGATGTACGCACATCGTTTTGTCTAATTTTAGTTTAGGATTTTTATTAATACTGTTTTGGCATGCGTGTTTTTCCAGGATTTTATTATTATGTTTTTTATGATTCTTTCTGTAGTTTCAGTGCAATTGTAACTTAATTTTAAGGTTTTTTTTATTAAAGATCTTGCTAAGTCTGCTATTAGTAGGAAAGTGTTTTTTTCAATTAAAACTAGGAACTTATGTCCTAGCTTGATACTAACCATTTGGTTGTACAGAGGGGTATACAAAATGATTTTCCTATTCCTCTTTTTCTTCAGCTTAGTACTATTGTTTCTATTCCAACAACACAGTAATTTTTATAATACAGCCCTAAAAAATAGCAGATACAAACACGCTGACAGAAATTTGCTTTGAAATGAAAACCCCGACCCTACCTCGGCTTGGTCTCTTTCCGAAGGTGTCTGATATGTGGATGAAAATTATCTCTTAGAGCCCTTACCAAAATGGTCGCCTCAGCCTTTTCCATAGTAATTAATTTTGCGAATGAACATGCTTATAAAGATTCGTAAATTTCAAGATTGGTTATTTCTAAATTTTCACTTGACGATGAAACAGGACTTCATACTTTAATTCAATGTAATTTTAATAATTATATTGAGGTTTTCAGCTCTCGTTTTTGAAACATGAGAACACTTATGTAGCGAAGGAATCATATTTTTTAAAAAATAATTAATATATATATATATATATATATATATATATATATATATATATATATATATATATATATATATGGGTGTAACAGCAAAAGTATCCACATTGTGTACAGCATAATTGTTCATCCCACAAAATATTTAATATCTAAGAATCCACTAAACTAATAGACTTTCTTTTTTCCAGGTTTTCAGATAAGACGTTCACCCATATTGACAGCATTTGTCGTAAGAATCACCAAAAAAAAAAACATTTTAGTCATTCAGCTAGAAAGAGAACAGGTTAAAATCATTTTGTCTCAAACCCACTGTCTTCCCAACTGAGCAATGGTAAGATGAAAAAAGATCATTCATGTCTTCAAAAATGGTACTAACATTCAAACTCTGGCTTCCATCTTCAAAGTCCATTCGAGACCCATCAAGAGAATGGGGAATAAATTAAAAAATGAGGGAACAATAAACTGTATCAGGAGGTCACAACGGGACGAGGGTTCATCATTTCAACTTAGAGCTAATGAGATCAATTAGGAAAGATCCAAATCAATCCATAAAACGTTTGGCTCGTGAGAGACGAGTTTAACCTATAACAGTTCAAAGAGCAATGAAAAGAGACTTGAATAGGAAATCGTAAGTGAAACCTGTGAGGCACCTTGTTAGTCGAAGGCAGAAGTTTAGAAGGTTAGAAAGGCCGAAAATATCTTTAATAAGTTGTAAAATGACCCGGGAATAATATATATATATATATATATATATATATATAAACTTTATATCTATCCTTCATAAGCTTCCGATCCATCGCTATGTTTAATTAATGATGAACATGTCATTTTCATTTATGTTCGATTTCCTCACGATTCTTCTGATAACATTTATGAAAACCTGAGAGAATTCCAGTAAGATATTTTAATCATTTTTTAAGATACAACCGTTTAAACATAATCTAACAATTGGACAATTTTGCTGTTACAGATATATATATATATATATATATATATATATATATATATATATATATATATATATATATACTGGGTGTAACAGCAATATACTTTTTACACATATCATACTCACTCACTTTTTAAAACCAAAAACACACACAAACACAAACATATATATATATATATATATATATATATATATATATATATATATATATATATATATATATATATATATCATGAATAAGAAAAATAGTGTTAAGTGATATGCAACAGAATAGATGATACCCGGTGAGACAGTTACGGAAAGTGCAGAGAGCAAAAAAAGAAAGAAAAAAAAGGAAAGTGACCGATTGAAAGAAAAAAAGGAAGGTAGGAAGGAAGGAAGGAAGGAAGGAAGGAAGGAAGAAGTAAACAAACAAACAAGCAAACAAACAAAAGTGAGTGGGCAGCTGTATGTAGGTTTTTATTTTTAATGTCATTAGGAAAGAAGAGAGAGTTAGTGAAGGAAAGAGAGAATGCAAGAAAGATTTGAGAGAGTAACTGAAAGAAACAAATAGTGAGAAGAGTTTACTGGAAGAAAGAAAGAAAGAAAGAAAGAAAGAAAGAAAGAAAGAAAGAAAGAAAGAAAGAAAGGCCTAAATAAAGAAATTAAGAAACATGACCGCAAGATAGAGAACGAAAGTACAAAAGTCGAGAGCGCGTTAAAGAAAGGAGGGAAAGAAAAAGAAAGAAAAAGCTGTGTGATTTATTGCGAGAAAGACAGAGGGTGCATGTTAGTTAAAGAATGAAATAAGAAAGCCAGTTGAAGGAAAGAAGGAAGGAAGGAAGGAAGGTCGGTCGGTCGCTCGGAATCGTGTTAGTGAAAGATAGAAAGAGCGATAACGAATTAGGGAAAGAAAGAAAGGGAGAAAGAAAATAGGGTGTTTGAGAAAAAAGGAAGTAATACCAGGGTGAGTTAATGAATGAAAAAAAATAGGGAGAACGAATTAGTGAAAGAAAAAAAGAAGAACGAGTTAATGAAAAAGAAATATTAGAGCGTGTTAGTGAAAGAATGATCGAAGACTGTGCTGGAAAGAAAAAAAAAAGGAGAGCGAGCGATAGAACGAAAGAAATAGGAAACAAAGAAAGAACGCAAGGTTAGAGAATGAGTGAAAACAGAATGTATGAATGAATAAAAAAAATGAAAAAAAAAACTGAGAATGAATGAAAAAAATGAGTGATTGGATAAAAGAAAGAAAGAAAAAATAAGTGAAATAATTGAAGAACTATAGATAAATTAAAAAATGGAAATTTATAAAATATAGTTTTTTTTAGAAAGCTCTCCCCAGTTATTTCAGGCTCTTTTCTTATTGTCACCTTTCAGTTTATTCTTCTGTAAGCAGTTTCTTCTTCCCCATCATTGCTATCAAATTTCAAAGATGGAGCGCAGAAAAAGTGTGTATACATTTAGAGATCTGGGATGAGTTACACAGACATCCTAGGAGTATTAGAATAGCGAAAGACACAATGCAAAAACGATATACAAAGTATAAAAAGGCGAAAATTTCGTTAGAAAAAATATGCTGATCTATGTAATATTAGCCATTCAATATGGCGGTAAATACAGACCAATTTCCTTGCAGAGGAAGTAGAGATTTGAGGTAGCACAGATGTGATTCTAGGAAGGATGCTGTGAATACAATGTAAATAACATGTAAGCAACAAATAAATTTTAAGGCAAATGCGAATAAAATGATAGTTGGCCTTAGAATAGAAAAGAGACAGTTGGAATCTCGTGTGCGCATCATGAATAAAGAGAGCTTGGAAAATTTCACAGTCACAGGACTTAATGAAAGCAAGTTGGGTAGAGACAACGTACGAAACAAGTTTGTGTGAATGGCTGGTGGATCGGAGACAAAGCAGGTTGATTGTCAAACACCACTTGAAGTTACAATCAGCGGGAAGATTTGGAGAGCTATGACCCAGGATCATAAAAGAAATGTAGCACATAAAAGTAAGCGGTGACATTCTTGACACAATAGAGTTAATATTGCATGTCTCTAAACATACATTTACTGAAGAAAGAAAGAAAGAAAGAAAGAAAGAAAGAAAGAAAGAAAGAAAGAAAGAAAGAAGGTGGGCGAATAAGTGAAATAGATAAAGAGGAGAGCGATTTAGTAAAAGATAGGAAGAAAGGAAAATGAATTAGTAAAAGACAGAAAGAAGAGGAGAATTAGGGAAAGAAAGAAAGAAAGAAAGAAAGAAAGAAAGAAAGAAAGAAAGAAGAGAGCGGTGCACACACATTTGTTTACTTGTAAAATCTTTATCGATAGATAACTTTTATTCGGTTATAAATAAGTTATGTTTTTCTGGTGCTGAGTTGTCTCGGTCCTGAGGTGTCTAAGTCCTGAGTTGACCCGACGCTCATTTGGCAGTGATGAGATGGCGGTGGTGAGTTGTCCCTTCCCGCATCAGAAAAACTACCATGATAATATTTATAGAAAAACTACAGGAAGCTACGTTATGGCAGTGTGAAAGTAACTAAAGCCAAGATGCCAGGTCAAGACTGATAACATTGCAGATTCTTTGAATTATATCAAGAATCTCTAAATACATCCCAAATTATAACAAGAGAATTTTAATAAAGTAAAACAATTGATCCTAGAAAAGTTGAATCTCATTCTTTTGAAAATCATTTCAAGGTGAATTTTATTTGTGAATATTTGTTCAAATTTTATTCAAAATCTAAGATTCAGTTATATAAGATTTATGCTGTTTTATGGTAACATCCTTCTTCAGAAAATATTTACAAAATCTTAATAATGCAAAGTGAAAAAAAAGAAGCATCAAGAGGGTAATGAAGAACATCAAGAATACCAGTAGGAAATTACCATGGGTACAGCTTGCAGAAAGAAAGAGGATAGCGAGTTAGTGAAAGAAAGATAAGCTAGCGAAAGAAAGAAAGAAAGAAAGAAAGAAAGAGGAGAAAACGTTAGTGAAAGAAAGAACAAAAGGAAGAAAGAGGAGAATGAATTAGCGAAAGAAAGCAAGAAAGAACGAAATAAATAGACAGGAAAAGAAGTTAGCGAACGAACGAACGAAAGAAAGAAAGAAAGAAAGAAAGAAAGAAAGGCTAGAACGAGTTAGTGAAAGAAAGAAAGTGGAGAACGAGTAAGATAAAGAAAGAAAGAGATAGAGAAATAAATAAATGAATAAAGACAAAAGAAAGAAAGATAGAAAGAAAGAGAAGAATGTGTTAGTGAAAGAAAGAACAAAGAGGAGAACGAGATGTTGAAAGAAAGAAATAGGAAATGCCTATTTGTGAAAGAAGTAAGAGAGCAAATTAGTGAAAGAAAGAAAGAAAGAGAACGAGTTAGTAAAAAAAGAGGAGAACGACGTAGTAAAAGAAAGAGAAACGATTTAGTGAAAGAAAGAGGAGAGGGAGTTAGTGAAAGAATAAAAGAAGGGAGCATGTTAGTGAAAGAATGAAAAAAGTAGAGTGAGTTACTGAAAAAAGGAAATAAAGACAGAAAAAAAGAGGTCAACGCGTGATTAAAAGAAAGAAAAATGAGAGCGAATACGTGAAATAAATAAAGAGGAGAGCGATTTAATAAAAGAAGGAAAAGAGAACGAAGTAGTAAAAGACAGAAAGGGGAGGAGAATTAGGGAAAGAAAGAAAGAAAGAAAGAAAGAAAGAAAGAAAGAAAGAAAGAGAGAGAGAAAGAGAGAGAGAAAAACAAACAGGAAAAATGAAAACGAATAAGAGAAATAAATAAAGAGGAGAGCGATTTAGTAAAAGAAAGGAAGAAAGTGAACGAATTAGTAAAAACAGAAAGAGGAGGAGACTTAAAGAAAGAAAGAAAGAAAGAAAGAAAGAAAGAATGAAAGAAAGAAAGAAAGAAAGAAAGAAAGAAGGTGGGTGAATAAGTGAAATAAATAAAGAGGAGAGCGATTTAGTAAAAGAAAGGAAGAAAGTGAACGAATTAGTAAAAACAGAAAGAGGAGGAGACTTAAAGAAAGAAAGAAAGAAAGAAAGAAAGAATGAAAGAAAGAAAGAAAGAAAGAAAGAATGAAAGAAAGAAAGAAAGAAAGAAAGAAGGTGGGTGAATAAGTGAAATAAATAAAGAGGAGAGCGATTTAGTAAAAGAAAGGAAGAAAGTGAACGAATTAGTAAAAACAGAAAGAGGAGGAGACTTAAAGAAAGAAAGAAAGAAAGAAAGAAAGAAAGAAAGAAAGAAAGAAAGAAAGAAAGAAAGAAAGAAAGAAAGAAAGAAAGAAAGAAAGAATGAAAGAAAGAAAGAAAGAAAGAAAGAAGGTGGGTGAATAAGTGAAATAAATAAAGAGGAGAGCGATTTAGTAAAAGAAAGGAAGAAAGTGAACGAATTAGTAAAAACAGAAAGAGGCGGAGACTTAAAGAAAGAAAGAAAGAAAGAAAGAAAGAAAGAAAGAAGAGAGCGGTGCACACACATTCGTAAAATCTATATCGACAGATAACAAATAGCACCAACTATCTGACATCTTGGGATTTTTCAGATATTTTTCCAATTAAAAATTTCAAGGTATGACTTGCCGATTTCCTCACGTTAAAAAATAAAGGAAGTGCCATCGAATAAACGAAAAAAAAAACTACTTACCTGCAAGAGTTTTGATTCTTGATCGCTCCTGGAACATCCTGGAAGAATTAAATCAACTATCGAAAACCTCTTCCATCACTGCAAGTACCCCACCCAGGCTCCTAATGGACCCCTGCATGAATATCTCGCTCATGACACCTTAAATCTGAAAGAGAAGAAATAGATTCTGTCGTGTGAAAAAATAAATAAAAATAATGCAGTTTAAACTGAGTCAGTAATTTTCTTGCAATAAAAATTGAATTATAAATGGAATAATTTTATAGAAAATAAACAAATAAAAAGCGAAAACGAAAGTCTTTATTTCGCAATATTCTTGAAAAATAGAGCGAAATATTGAACCGAATATCTAAACTTTGGAATATTCTCAAAACCTAACTTGAGTAACCCTGACAAAGACACTACTTCACTGGAAATTTAGCATCAGCTAAAACGTCTATGTAACAATAAAACTGTTAAATATTATTGGTAAAATATATGGGCGAGTTCATGCTGTCCTAGAAAGAAGTGTGAAAGTAAATCGATACAAGAATTTTTTTTAAAAAATCATTACACTGTGTGAAAAAATAAAATAAAAAAAATGAATTGATTTATTGATTCGCTCATCAACTTTTTACAGGTTGTTTAAAGCCAAAAAATAGTTTTACTCTCGCCTCAATAGTAAATCTCGTATCACTGACAAAACTAACCTGGCTGTTGGTCTCGAAACTGACCTCCAATCTGTGGTTGACTGCCGTAGGAAATGACTTGTAAACTTTAACGCCTCTTTTACCCGCCTCAGAGAACGCTTCCTGCCTTCCATCAGAATGTCTGCTGCCCAACTCTGCGAAAGCGCCTCTCTGCGCCTGCTTGGTCTCACGCTATCCGCTGACATGAGGTGGAACAAATACATTGAATCCATAGCTTCATCTACCGCAAGGAAAGTTGGTTCTCTGTGTCGTACCAAAATTTTTTTTCTCTCCTGAATCCATTCTTCAAATCTATAAATCAACCATCCGTCCTAGCATGGAATACTGCTATTATAGCTTTCAAAGTCCTCGACAAAATCCAGAGACGAATATGCATCGTGATGGGTCCTGATCTGTCACCTCGTCTATAGTTACTTTCTCACAGACGGGCTGTGGCATCCCTCTGTCTCTTCTACAATTATTTTCATGGCAATTGCTCCGACGAGTTACCTTCGCTGATTCACACACTGCATGAATTTAAACGTACTACTAGATTGGCATCTCGGTCCCACCATTTCACTGTTGAAACGGTAAAATGTAGCCGACTCTTCTACACCAGCGGGTTGTTCTCTTGCACTTCCCGTCTGTGGACCCCTTCCTTTTAATTACTTCCCTGATAACTGTGATCTTCAAATATTCAAGTGTAATGTCAACCGACATCTTTTGATGCCTTGATCCTGTTTCCCATCCTTGTTTGTATTCTTTACTCCAACACGTCTCTTTTCACATTCTCTTTGCGTTCTGTAACCTCTTGCGTGCTAGTCGCACTCTTGCCTTGCTTTGAATGAAATGCTTAATATATATATATATATATATATATATATATATATATATATATATTTGTAAGCTGGCGTTGCTCATGACGAGATTTCTCTAACGGCGTCATCTCTCGCACTTCCCGGCTGTTGAACCCCCTATCTTTTATTTGCTTCCAGGATAACTATAATCTTCAAATATACAAGTTTAATATTAAAGGATATCTTCTGATGCCTTGATCTTATTTCCTGTCCTTCTCTTCATCATTTCCTCGAACACGCTTCTTTACTCTTACGCTCTGTAGCCACTTGTGTGCTAGTGGCACTCTCGCGTTGCTTGAGGTGAAATGCTTAAAAAATAGTTTGGGGATAATGATTTATGCTGATACAAGTCTTACTAAAGAACCCCTATCGAACTCATACCAAGTTTATGTGCGCGTAAGTGAATATAACAAACCCAACAGGAATTGGAAATCGGTCCTCCGATTATCAATTCTGAGCCATTATATTTTCACCATCCGCACATCCGAGCTTACAGCACCCGGTATTCCCAAGGGGTCAGCCACCTAGCCGTAATCCCACAAAAAACATAAAAGAAAGTTTTTCAGAAATTTTCTTATAATAAAAACATTTAAAGAAAGAACTTTATTGGAGAATGGAACTGTCTTCCATTGGTCAAATTCTTGAAAGTGAGACAAATATTTCATCAAGTTTAAGTCTTATCAGTACATGAGCTCGCGGTAATGGCATCAAATCTCGATTCGCAGACCATTGCGTTAGATACCTTCATGTGTGCTCTTCCATTACAACATTGTGCCAGACTAAAAAACAAAACAACAACAACAACAAAAGAAAAAAAGAAGCAATGAGAAACACCTCTAAAATGTTTCTTCTTTGATGTACCAAGACCTCTCTGGACATAGACAATAATGGCTATCCACAGTTTCCTGTGTTGTTTGGTTCTTAGCAACCTTTGACCTTTAACCGTAAACCTTTTGTAATTACAAAAGTACACAGGTGTAGGCTTTAAGAAAGGATTATTCTACTGAGAATACAATGATCGCATACAGTGTCCTTTTATAGTCCCAGTAAACAGAAATAGGTCTCTCAAAGAGGAGAGTAACGAAACAAAGGGAGAATTTTTTTGATTTTTGATAATACCTTAATCCCGGTTCTGCCATTCCATCATAGAAATTAATTAATTAGGTTACTCATTATCTCTCCTCGCTTCTTTTCTTTTTTTTTGTACTTGCCCTTTGAGTATTAGGATCTCCAGACCCTGTTTCTGTATTCAGTTCTCCAGAAATTTTAGCTATATCTGATTATTATGAACAATTTTCAGTTTTCTTTTTGTTTCCGCGAACACTTTAATCAAAACATGTTCAAGTTGAGGTTCAATCCCTATTATATTCTACTTATTTGGCTAAACTTCATTTCTTACCGCGTGTTTCATCCATATGACAAACTTCATTTATCATTGCAATTCTAAATTTATTTTAAACATGCATTCAATGACTCACGAAATTTACAGTGGATGATTTCTATTCTTAGAAAATATCAGGCCTTTAAAAAAAATTTCTTCAGCTGCGAAGAAATTTAGAATAATTTCTTCTTCTTTTCTTCTTATTTCTTCTTCTTCTTCCTCCTCCTCCTCCTCTTCTTCTTTTTCTTTCTCTTCTTCCTTTTCTTCCGCTTCTGCTTTTTGTTCTTATTATTTTCTTCATCTTCTTCTTCTTGGTCTCCTCCTTCGTTTTTCTTCTTCTTTCTCTACTTCTTTTTCATCTTCTTCGTCGTCGTCGTCCTCCTCCTCTTTTTCTTCTTCTTCTTCTTCTTCTTCTTCTCTTGTTCCTCTTCTGCTTTTTCTTCTTCTTCTTGTACTTGTTGTTGTTGTTCTTCAACAACTTCTTTTTTCTTCCTTTCTCATCTTCTTTTTCTTTATCCTCTTCTTCATTTTCTTCTTCCTCTTCCTCTAATTCTTCTTCCTCTTCTGATTTCTTCTTTTTCTTCTCCTTCTTCATTTGTTTTGTTCTTCTTCTTCTTCTTCTTCTTCTTCTTCTTCTTCTTCTTCTTCTTCTTCTTCTCTCCCTCCATCCTCTTCTTTTTCTTCCAATTGTTCTTCCTCCTCGTCATCTCGCTCTTTTTCTTTTTCCTCTTCGTCTTCTTGCTCGTCTCTTCTTCTTTTTTATCTTCTGCCTTTTCTTCTTCTTCTTCTTCTTCTTCTTCTTCTTCTTCTTGTACTTGTTGTTGTTCTTCTTCAACTTCTTTTTCTCCTCCTTCCTCTTCTTTTCTTCCTCTTCTTCCTCCTTCTATTCTTCTTCCTCTTTTTCTTTTACTCTTCTTCTTCTTCTTCTTCTTCTTCTGAAATCCATCCCTTGTTTTCTACTTTTCTTTGGGGGGATCTCGATTGCTGATGTTACTAAAGGTTCTCGATTTTCCAATGAGCGTATAGTAGGAGAAGCTATCTAAAAATATGCCGAGCTAAGGAAAATCTTGTCATTCACTTGACGTTCCAGTGATCAAGCTTCTAACACGTGGGCAGAACATGTGTTACACTGACCTGCTAAAGTTTCGACCGAAAAAATGCGAATTTGACTTGTGACGAATGCAGCTATCGAATTCTTTTTTTGCATGCTAGCATGCTAGTTAACATTCGTGGCAGCCAGCTATAGGCTCTCACTCTGGTCAGTAGAAAATGGCCGCAAACTACATGAAAACTGCTGTAGAAGCATGAAAATATCGATTATTACCACTATCGATGGGAGTTGGGAAAAGCAAAGTCGGTCTTGGTCTTCTCCCTAACTTGGAGCATATGCATGTAAATTTTGGAGCAAATCCATCGAAAATTGTCGCCGTGCATTCGTTACACACACACACACACACACACACACACACACACACACACACACACACACACACACACACACATCCTCCTTATATATATATATATATATATATATATATATATATATATATAAACTGTTGCTTAAAGTTTTCTCTTCAGCTGTGAGGGAACTGTCTAGGATTTTCTGCCATATAGTAATGTAGAATAATTTCTTCTTCATCTTCAATGCGCCGTTCCCATTTCAGGACGTTAACGATCATGGCTCTCCACAATTTCCTGTCATTCATAACTCTAATAAACCTTGTTTTTGTGTTATCTCTCTTCAACCTTGTTCCACCCTCCATTTACTCAGTCTAACTATGTAGGTTGAGCGTTGTTTTTGTCTGTCCCTCTTGCATTCAATTTGTCCTGTGAGTGTCAAAATTGCCAAGCCCTCTTTTCTAATTATGTTGATTTTCTAAGTGTAGCTTAGATGTAGCACCAGGCCGAAAGTATGGAGCACCCAGTTAGGATCAAACTCACTGTTCAGCCACAATTGATCTATCGAGACAAGATCGCTAACCACAGCAAAGTGCCTTCCTCTTTCTACCGAATTATGTATTCTAAGCAGGATTAGTTTTCTATAGCAAATTTATAATTAGCATATTAAAGGTGTTAAAAAATATCAGAATCTTTTTTATACTATGATTTTATGATAAATTAAAATAAAAAAAAAATTATAATTTTTGTTTCGTATAAAGCCCGACGAGAAAGTTTTTTTTTTTTTACGTCATTTTCTTTTAGAACGTGGTTCATCACCTCATAGGGGAGGGGTTTCCCGTTGTATTCTTCTCCACGGTTTGGGAATTCTGAGTTTTCCTTGTCTTGCCACCCATCCTGAAAATTGCCACGCGGGTTTAAAATCCTTTTTTTTTACCTCTGCCTCATATTACGACACTTTTTCTCGCATTATGTACGGCTTCGCTAATAGCTGATAAGTCAGATAAATAATTTTTATACATATATATATATATATATATATATATATATAAAATAAAAATTAAAATTTCAATAAGAACACCGGATTATATATCTTACTATCCTTTCTTTTTCTTTATATATATATATATATATATATATATATATACTGAATAAAAACAGACCACTTTAAGGTTCCATGGAACCATAAAGTGGTCTGTTTTTATTTAAATTATTTGATCTGGATTTACAATGGGCTCTCTGGATTTTATCCTCCTTGGGTTTACCCATACGGATTACCTATTTTTCATAAACTATATATATATATATATATATATATATATATATATATATATATATATATATATATGTATGTGTGTGTGTGTGTGTGTATGTATGTATGTATGTATGTATGTATATATATATAAAAAGAAAAGACAGTAAGATATATAATCCGGTGTTCTTATTGATATTTTATATATAAAATGTCATAAAACAATCTAGTCATTTTGACAGATTTCTGAAAATGGGTCCACTAGAAAAATGCTATTACAGAGGAACCTCTGTTCCTGATCGTCTCACATGTCGAACAAATCGGTTTTCGAACAGAAAATTCGAGATGAAAATACATCGGTTGTCGAAAAAATTTCGGTTCGCGAACAACATAGCCGAACATATTTAACACAAACGGAATAATTTCTGAGTCAACCATCGTGTTGCATAAATTCGTGTGTTGTGCCGTGCTTTTCTTTTCCAATTTTATTGTGCTGTGGCTTTTTTTCTCTACATCGTTTCCTATTTGGAAAAAATAGTTTCGGCTTACGAACATTTCGGGTTACGAACTGCATTCAGGAACGAATTAAATTCGTGAACCGATGTTCCACTGTGCTTTGATCTATTATTTGCAATATCTACAATTGTTTATGTGCGTGGTCAGCTGAAAAATCACAGGATGAAGCTGAGGTTTATGTAATCTGCCATAACACAGGTAGGCTTATTAAATAGTACCGTAAAATAATTGGTCACTTCAATTCTTTGATGTTCCTTGAGACACGTGCTCATATGTTTTTTTTTTTACTTTTTCTAGCACGAATACTGTGATGTTTTCGAAATATTACATGGTTCAAGATCCCTAATGTCTTTTAAGAGTGACTTTATGTGAAGGGATGAGAAAGAATGCTGATATTAAAAGAAAATTAAAAATTGCGCGCGAGATAAATTTAAACAAACTACGAGGACCTATTGCGTATATGAAGAAAAATTATGCCGAATCAAGGTGTCGAATAAAGATAAAATAATCTTATTATTTATAACTTCTTTATTCTTCTAACTTTTACGTACATAGAGCGCTGAAGATAAAAGATTGAAGTCCCTAAGTCACTCAGCAGGAAATAGCCTAGCGTCTGACCGCAAGGGCGGCTTCTAGGCTAACATATTAACAAGTCAATTACTGGCGACGCTACTATCGATTATAATCAGTTTAAAACAGAAATCGATTGTCAAACATATGTAATTTCTGTCTTGAGAATATTAAACATATTATACTAACGACTAATCCTAAAGGTAAGCTGAGAATAAATTTGATGTAAGCTAATATAACATAATGTTCAATACAAAAGGCAGGGTATTGAAAAAGATATATCTTCAAAAGCGGGCCCGAAGGCTAAGCTACATAAAAAAAATCCCAAAAAACAGATATGATGTGTGTCTACTGAGATATTCGTGATCTTACGTATTTAAAGTTCTTAACACGTAATGAAACACTAAATGTATATTTATTCTTCCGGCATTTGGAAATTGTCCATAAATGTCTGGTCGAAAAGCGACCCTTGCTCATTAATAGGATTGATTGATTGATTAATTTGTTTGTTTAACGGCTTACCAGCCCCTTATTAGTCATTTCATGCCGAAATTTAACTTTCTTGGAAGCTTTGACGTAATCATATTTGACGTAATCATATATGTTATTCTGCTTTCACAATTGAATATGTGGTAGATGATGCGCAGCTTTTGCTAATACACATATTTCTAGCGGACATATTACTTGTGGCAGTGTTATGTATGTTTTATGTTGTAGTTTTGTTGAATTTATATTTTTGAATAAGGCTTGATTTCTTTACGAGATTGTAGGATATTATATCGGTCAATGTCATGAAAGAGTTTTTTCAAGTTGTTTATTCTGTTGGTTGGTTTTGTTTAGCTGCATACCAATCTCTGTAGGTTATTTAATGCCGAAATATAAATATTTTTAACGTAAATATATGCTTTCAATTATAGATAAAAATTATTGTTGGTCATTTTACTATAAAATGTATTGTTGTTAATTTTCTATATAATAATATATTGCAGGTATTTTTACTATAGCGTTTTGATTTTTTTTTGGTGAGGGTCATTGTTTGGCCGAAGCTGAGACCCTAAATATGCTACAACTCCCACCTCAGGATGGACCTGGAAACAAGAGCAATTAATAGCTAGCACCACACTCCTCAAGTCCTCCATTTTCCTGATCAGAGGTCTTGCTGTCGGATGTAGTTTATCGTCATACCCAGGACAAACATCAGTAGGAAAACTGGTCTGTTCTCTGTCCTCCGCCATATTCTCCTGATTTGCACCAAGCATTTATTATGTTTTTCCATCGGCACACTTTGACTGAAATAAGCTCTCTCAAAGCTCACCGAAAACATTTTCACATCAAAACCTGCGGAATTTCATTCAAAATATATCGAAGAGATGACTGATAAGTGACAACAAGTCCTTGCAAAGAATGGCGAATATATACATGACTAAAGTTGGACTTTGTTTGTGGAAACGAAGACGGAAATTATTTATGATGCATTTTTTTCTTTGAATGAGAAAAAATAGCTTCTTAATAGACATGGCAAATCTTTTCCGGTGTGCGAATATGGCTCGCCACAATTTCCTAGTAATTTTTACACTTTTACCGTACCATTTTATTAAGTAGATTACTTACAGTTTCATCCAGTTTCCCTTGATATCGGTCCGCCTTAAGAGTTTTAAATTCTCTGGGACTTCTTTCCTCATGTTCACCAGAATGTCTAACTATCATTTTGTGATTGTAAGTATAAGTTTCTTACATGTTTCTGTTTTGCTTAAGATTCCATCGTTGCGCATGTCTTCTATCCATCTCATATCCCTCCTTCCTCTGTGAATAGACTGCCCAGAATTCACTGTCATACAGGGATTTGATATTACATAGCAGTTTATATATATATATATATATATATATATATATATATATAGATAGAGAGAGAGAGAGAGAGAGAGGAACACGCTTATACTTTCTGTGATTTTTAAATAAACCGATTACGTTTAGGAAAAACAAAATAGATAAATAAATGTACTCCATCTGTACAATCAATAACTCACCGTATATCTGATTTCATATTTATCTATCTTTATATAGTTAAGATATTGACATCTCATATCTAAAATATATTTAGCAAACTTTCTAGTATTTCCAAAAGTTTCTTTTATTTTCGACTTTTTCTTCTTCTTCTTCTTCTTCTTCTTATTATTATTATTATTATTATTATTATTATTAT